GCTGACTGCTTGAACAAAGGTACGGAACAGGAACATGCCAACTTAGGCCTACGTTTATGCAGCCAGTGAGATATGAGAAAGCAAGACACACGAGCACGCGCACGCACACAGGCACGCACACAGCACACGCACTGCAAGGATGGCTGGCATGCACAAAAGCAGGTGAGGCCACACAGCGGACATCGGCTGTCTGAGCGAGACCCCTCCAAAAATCTGTAGGTCACTTCATCTCCCCAGGTTATACCACCTCCCAATGGGGAACCTCAGGTCAGGGCCAAAGCCGAAGATATTTACCCCCAAGCCCGGCTCTGACAGCTTCTGCCCAGGAAAACTGTGTTTGAGGTAAGAATTATCCAACACACGCATGCAACACATATGCAAGCAGGGAGCAGAGAGCTTCATCCCGGGGGGGGGGGGGGGGGGGGCCTACATAACGAACGGGAAGGAACAATACAGGGAGAAATGGTGACCACACGGGGGAGCTCCAGGGAGCGGGGACGGGAGGAAGAATGTCCAATCTCCCCACTGAATGGTGCTTCTGGGTCCATCTTGAGACACCAGGGACACCATGTGACTGGTGTGTAGAACCTGCTCCTCTGAGAGCCTGGAGGCACCGTGACTTGGCCACTGCAAAGGAGAGGCACGAAGCTGACTCGTCTTGTCGAGATAAGGAGAGAGGGCAGGACCTGGCCAGGCAGTATGTGCTGATAGCCTCTTGCCAATTATTGTCGAGAGGCATCCGGGCAAGTGCCACTCCATTTTGCTAAGGGAAAGGAGGGACTGAGGAAAACGTGGAGAAAGCAAGATTTTTCTCAGCTCCCTCTGTCTTCCAACCCTAGAACTGTGGGCGTGCCTACACGCATGGTAAGGAGAAACACCGCCGCTGCATTGAGTCAGCTCCTGTGAGTTGCTGCCTTTCTTCTGGAAAACCATCAGGAAATCGCAGACAGGGTATGAGAGACCGGAAGTAGTAGGGCCGGAGGGGAACCCTGGGCAGAGGCCAGCACGCCTCGGGCAGCATCTGCTCACACGCGTGTCTGGTCTGTCCATCTCTGACGGAGAGGTAAGGGGGGTCAGTTTACCTTCTTTTTACCGAGCACCTCGGTGTGAGGCCCAATGCCAGGACACGGACAAGTCCCACCTTAGGTCTAGTTTGGGCTGTAAATGGGTGTTCTTAGCTTGTTTGGTTGGATAAGGCGATGGCAGCCTGGAGAGGTGGGGCGCATGCCCAGGTGACCCACAGGCAGGGGCAGAGCAGAAAGTGGGCCTGGGCTGCTGGAGTCTGTGTCAGGCCCCTCCCACCACACGCAGACACAAGGAACCTCGCCCCTTAGCTTTTGCCGACCATGAACAGCTCTAGAGATGACGCCTGGCAGGGGCAGTGGAGTCGAGGACAGAATGAGACACCAAAGCGTGGAATGGAGCCCAGTGCGGAGAAGCAGCCCCGCCCCCTGGGAAACAGGCCCACTCACCTATCAGCACTTCCCACTTGCCGTTGGCCTGGGTCACCTCGTAGGCGCAGCGCATCTCGCTCAGGCTCACGCCTCCCAGGATGAAGATGATGAGGCGGGGACCACTGCGGTACTCGCCCGGGGCCTTGTTCTTATGCCAGTGCCCATAGCGGGCGCTGAGGGGGGCAGGGGAGAGATTAATAATGTTCACCCGCACTCAAGTACCTGCACTTCATACCTGCGTGACACGTGTACATGTTCGTCCGCACACAGTGACACAGAGAGGCTGCGTAGTGAGTGTTGTGAATGAACCGCAGTGGGGCCGGGAGCAGAATTGTTACGAGCACCCTGCTGCCATCTTTCAGTCTCTTAGAAACATGTAGGCAGCAGCCAGGCTCAGGTCGGCTTTACTGTCTGACATGCTAAGTTCAGCAGCTCCTCCGGCGTGCTGCTCATCCAGGAGTCTACCCCCAGGGGTACACGTTCCTAGCTGTGAATGGGCACTCTGCTGGCAGTGAGCAGGAACAGCAGAGCCAAAGGAACAGCAAATGTGCACGATGCCTCACTGGGCCAGGGCCTCCTGCACTGAGAGGAAGGGCCGAGTGGGCGGGTGGCGCTGTCAGGGCCGGCCTGCACCTGGCTGCGATGAGCACAGCGGGAGGGGCTCACAGCCACGCGGTATCACAACGGGACTGCTGTGCACCTGACATGCCACCAGGGCCAGCCCCTCACTGCCGCCTGCCTGCTCGAGCGTCTCACCTGACGGCGGTGGTGCTGAAGGAGGCAGAGGAGCGGGTAGAGATGTAAGGGTAGTGCTTGGTATCGAGCTTGTCCTCAATGGTGTCCTGGAAAGAAAAGGGACTGATGTGGCCCAGCCTGTGTGGCTCAGTGGTTGTGCGTCGACCCATAAACCAGAAGGTCATGGTTTGTTTCGGGTCAGGGCTCATGCCTGGGTTGTGGGCTCGATCCCCAGTGCGGGGCCTGCAAGAGGCAGCCGAGCAACGATTCTCTCTTATCACGGATGTTTCTCTCTCTCTCCCCTCTCGCGCCCTCTGAAATCCACACAAATATATAAAAAGAGAAGAGACCGATGTCGGCTCTGCCACCTGCTAGAAAAGGGCTGGCGGAAGCCAGAGTTCGAACACGTCACTCAGTGAAAACCACACCAGGCTTGCAGCATCCAGACTGCTCCCGCTCCTGCCGCGGCCGCTGCCCAGGGCAGTGCGTGTGGAGGGCGCTCCAGAAGCAGCCGGCGTGCTGAGATTGGTCTGTAGGTCTGCTCGTTAAGAGAAATTTTTAAAAATTGCATTGATTTTTCTTGCTTCGCTTCCAATTAATTCTTTTTTCTCCCCCTTTTACATTCTATGTGAGACTGTGCTGTATCCTGTCCCCTAAATTCCTGACACCATCAGTCTTGTAGACACTAGGCACAGGCAGTCTCTCAGGCAGGAGAAAGCCTTCACTCAGTTGCCCAAGGGGCTAATTATCTGGTGGGTGGATCCCAGCTCCCTACCTCCTGCTGCCTAGAAACCTACACTCCCCCTACCAGTTACCACGCAAAGCGTACACATCTCCCTGGAGGTCCGGGAAGGAGGGGCAGAAAAGGGAGCAGAGAACAAAGGAGGGATGAGACAGGGGTTGGCTTTATCTCTGCAGCAAGCCAACAATTGTCTTTGGTTTCTAGATGTCTCATGTTCACCCAGCCTTTTGGTTCGTGAGTTTTAAAAACAGGAAGCTGACTCACTGTGTATATTTAAAATACATTTATTTTAACGTACAATTCAGTACGAACACCTGCTCTGCTATGAGTCAACAAAGGGATCCTGAGCAAGTCTCTTCATTCTCTGACCCCAGTCCCATCTGCCTGTCAAGTGAGGAATTGGACAGATTAGCTCTAATCCCGCCCCCAACATCTAGCAGGTGGGATTCCATGCAGGCTTCCCTGACCTACAAGAAGAAATGGGAAGGACGGGCGCCTAACAAACGTGAAACACCTACTATGCACAAAGCATGGGGCCAGAGGACGCAGCAGTTGAGGGCATAGAACCGAGGTATAAAAAGATGAGCCAAACAACCAGCGGCATACGTGCTCAAAGAACCCCCCTAACATAGGCTCCTGGAGTCCAGGCGGCCTCTGTGGGGCGGGTTGGCCAGGTGGGGTGGTGGGTGGCACAGTGAGACGGGATGGGGGCTTTGAAGGAAGAGGCTTCTCTGGTTGGCATGGAGGACGGAGGTGCGGGATAAGTGGGAGAAGGGAGGCAGGCTGGGCTCACATTCCAGAGGCCCACCCACACCTCAGTATGGAACTCGCTACTCATGGGACCTTTTGGTGCTGTGATCTGTTGGGTTCCTCTGGGTGCGGTACCACTGAGGGATCTCTGCCTCCTGCTTCCTAGAAATCACGTGGTCTTGGGACCTGTGCCTGGCCGTCTGTTGGGCCTGCTCTTCACCAGCCCCAGGACAAGACATGCTATGAGGCCTGAGAGAGCTCCGGAAGCCAGTCCTTTGGGTGTCACTGCCCCTGCTAGGCGGTGGAGCTGGAAGCATCAGGCCTTTACGTGAAGAGCCCTGGGCCTGGAGCCTGTCTCCACCCCACCCACCCCACAGCACTGACCTCCATGATGTCTTTAATAATCGGGGTCCATCGTGACAGCTGGTAGGTCTGCTCGCTGATGCGCTCCTTCCGCTCTGGCTTGCTCCTGCGACGCAACGTAGACTGAATGCAAACATAAAGATTAGACTGTCAGGCCACGTGGACCCCGGGGTCCCTGCTGGCCTCTGGAAACCCTCTCCCAAGGCCTCCTTTCAGAACAGCAGCACAGCCAACTCTAACGAGTGGGAGTGTTTTCCCTGGAAAAGCCAAAAACATGCCCTTCTAGGAACTGGAGCAAAGTTGGTTCTTTCTTCTCTTTTTTTAATATTTTATTTTATTTTTTTATTCTTATTTTTTATTTTTTTGTCAGTCCTCACCTGAGGATATTTTCCCATTGATTTTTAGGGAGAGTGGAGGAGAGCGGGAAAGACAAAGAGAAACATCGATGTGAGAGAGACACATCGATTGGTTGCCTCCTGTACCAGGGCCCAGGCCGGGGAGGAGCCTGCAATCAAGGTACATGCCCTTGACCTGAATCGAACCTGGGGCCTTTTGGTCCACTATCCGCTTAGCCAAACTGGCTAGGGCTTATTTTTTAATATTTTAAATTGATTTCTAGAGAGAGGAAGGAAGAGGGAGAGAGAGGAGAAACACTGATGTGAGAGCAAAACATTTATCAGTTGCCTCCTGTGCGCCCCATACCAGGGATCAGGCCTGCATATGCCCTGAATGGAAATCGAACTGGCAACCTTTTGGTGCATGGGACAATGCCCAACCAACTGAGCCACACCAGCCAGGGCCAAACTTGGCTCTTTAAAGTCATGGCAAATGCAGGTCAAATTAAAAAAAAAAATCTAGGTAGTTAAAAAGAATACTTTGCTGTCGACTAACACCAGGAGAAAACACTACTCTGGGTAAGACTTACTCTTTGATTTTGTTTCAACAGCACAGGATGTACTGAAGGAATCGTCTCCGTTCTCACTGTGGTCCCTCTTGTGAACATGGGTCTAAAAATGCCAGTTACAGGCCTCTGGTCTGGTGGCTTGGAAGGAACCCCCACTGGGTCCCTGCCTGGAGGCTCCTAGCAGGGTGCTGTGAAGAGTGCTCAGGATTCTTCCTCATCCTGGGCCCCCCACCCCCAGCCTCTCCTAGAGCCCACTGGGGGCTGGGCCTCCCGGACAAGCTGCCCTGACTTGGTCCTGGATCAGTGGCAGTGTTGATTCTCACGGAAGAAGCTGCGTCTGGTGTCCAAAGGCAGAGCCAGGCCGACCTGCAGGCGCGGCTCCTGCTGTGGGCTGGTCCACAGCACGGCTCAGCTTTGGCGCTGTGCTCCACGCCTGCCTGTGCACGTCGCGGCTCCTGGCGCTAACCCTGTTACTCATCTTGGATCTTTATTCCTCTGATTTTACCTGCTCTCTCTTTCTCAGTGTTGAGTGTGTGCCTCATAAGCTGCCTAAGTAAGTAGTTAGGGGAGAAGAGAAAAGACCCACCAGTCCCACCCCCCCCCCCCGCCCCCCTGGCCGCGCAAGGCTGGCCCTTACGTCGGTGACGATGGGCACGCCCAGGTGCGCCATGTTGGTGATGATCTCGCTGTCCTCCGGGGGGATCTGGGCGTGCTGGATCAGTTTGTTCAGGTTTTCCTCAGTGATGCCTGAGAGAGCAAAACCCGTCACCACGTCCGCCACTGCACAGTGCACACTCAGAGGCCCAGCCCACTGCCTGGCGGGAGGGGGACAGTGCCCCTTCTCCTTAGCATTGCTGGAAATTAACCTGCTCATTGCAGCAACTTTACCGTCAGGCGAGGACAAGATCAGGACTCCTGTTCCACGCTAACCACCCATGCCGGGCTGCGGCCATCGGCAATTGCCCCTCAGGGTCTATGTTTCCCTCGTCTCCTGCTCCTCAGCCACCCCGGCCACCATGGGCCCACATCAAGGTCAACATGGACAGGAGTCTCTGTGCCCATCTTTTTGCACAATGGACACATATGGGCAACTATGATGGGATAAAAATCAGTTATTTAAAGGCACAGACTACAAGAGTGGTGCAAGTTCAAGGTGTCTGGCAGACACGCTCCCTGCTTTAAGGGCCCCCCCACAGGCCCTAGGCCCTCGGTTATGAGTCCCAGACCACGGGTTAACCCTAGAACTACTGGGGCACAGCCTCCAGTGGAAACTGATTTGCCTGTGTTACATTTCCCCAAACGTAAAAAGCCCCTGGGATCTTCCTGTCAAATACCCTTCCACTCCTTTGACACCACTCTTCCGCCTGCTTGGTCCCCCCAGCTGCCCTCCTCGTGCCCACCACTCCTACCATTCTTGAGAAAGATGTAGAGGAGGATGATGCGGATTTTGTCGTAAGTGCTGACATTTGCGTCCAGCAGAATGGGGACGATGGCTCTCATGGGGTCCTTGATCTTCTCACCTTCAGCATCCGTGCCCATGGCCAGGTCCTGCAGAAACACGCCACGCTGGCCCCACTTCTGGTGACAGTCTGGATAGGCGGTAACTATTGGGAAACTGCGGGTCCGTAATGTCTGGGACTGTGCTGGGTTGGGGAGGGTCCTGAGCAGGTACTTCCACTCTCACGACGCCAGCTAGCACCCGGGCAACTAGCACCGCTTTCTAGACCATCCAGGTTTCACTTTCAATGATTTGCCACCTTGTTTACAGGTCGCTGTTCCCTTCAGGAGGTGCCAGGGAACCTGTGCCAGCCTCAGGGGAAGCTTCGAGCCAGGGCAGCAGGCTCAGCCCATCAAGAACTATTGGTCCCGTTGTGGCTGCAACTTCCTCTGTGGTTCCCTTTTTTCCCCTCAAGATCCCAGGAGTTCATAACAATTATGACCTCAAGTTCATGGCCTCTTCCCAGTCTGGGTGGGAGGAAGGCAGGGCACCTCTCCTAGGCCCCTTCACCTCTCAATCCCACCACCAGCCTCACGGATGTTTGTTCAGCAGGACCTGATTCTAACACTTTCCAAAAGGCAGATTAAATGTAACTAGTTCACCAAATACTACTGCGCATTCTGCAACAACTTAATTCCGAGGGATGATCCCGACTGCGCTGTTACGGATGCAGAGATAACCCACCCTCTGGCGGTGAAGGCCTTTCGGAGAGGACGCCTGTGTCGGCCAAGATCCCCTGGGAAACTGACGGGTTCAGCCGGGCTGCGTCCATTCGAAGAGGCAATGAATCGGGGCAGGTCTCTCAAACCTAAGCTGAGCCCATCATATCAAACCAGAAGATGTAACCTCAGCATCTCACTGAGAACTTGAGCTGTTTTTACTGTGAAGCGGGCCTTCTGCTGAGGCCTCAGGATGGCTGAGTGCTCTCTCCCCCCCCCAGAAGCTGCCCCTGGCTGGGTCATGGTATTACAATGGAAGAACTAAGTGCTAGCTTACTGACCCCACACCACACCACACCACACTCCCAGAAGTCATGGCAGCATTGCATTTCCCTCTGCAGATGAGGAAAATACAGAGAGAAATGGGCACAGCAAACATATCCGTGACAGAGACACAACTCAAATCCCAAACTCTGACCCTTCCAGCCCTAACTGCGATCAGTGAGGCGGGGGCAAGTTCCCCACCTGCTACTGCACTACCAGAGGCCTCCAAAGCTGCTGTGGCTGCAGCAGGAGGAAATGCATTCGGATATAAACTCAGCCGGCCCCGCCTGTAGGGCTCAGAACCTCTGGAAAGCCAGACATGCAAAATCCACACGGCACGGCCTTCCAGACCATCCAGTCCCTACCCTTGAGAGTGTGCGGCACTGGCTCGCGAGGTGAGACCACACGATCCCGTAGGCCTTCCCATCTCTATTTCCTATGATTCTGCAGGATGTTCAAGGTCAGAGGTTAAACTTCTGCTGGGTAAGTGGTCATGGCAGGAAGAGAAGGAAAGGGTCCTACCTGCTCCACCCGGCAGAGCTTGTCCACGGTGCCTTGGTAATGCTTCATGCAGTCCTCGGCAAGATGCAGGTGGGTGGAATACTAGGAAAAAGCAGTTTGTGATCAAGAATTACTCGCTGATATGTGTGCCACCTACCTAGGATGCATAAACACTGGGCCAGACACCAAGGAATCACCAGCCTCATGCAGGCCGGCACACAACCACTGCAAGGCAGGGCATTATGTGTCAAGAGAGGGACAAACCACATTTAAAGGGTCAACAGGAAGGAGGAATCCTTCGTGGGTGGGATGGGGTGGGCTGATGGCTGTACAACATGCCCACAAATTCTTCAATATTACTCCCTCCAGGAGGAGGAGCTTAGTTCCCCCTCCTTGAGTGTGGGCTGGATTTAGTGACTCGCTTCTAAGGAACAGTGCGGAGGAAGTGATGTGTGATGTCCCTCATCAGGACCGGGAGGGCGTGTGACTTCTTTCCAGCTCTCTCTCCCGGCTCACTCACTCCGGGGAAGCCAGCTGCCATGCTGTGATGACACTCAGGCAGCCCCGTGGCGAGGTTGATGGAAGAGGAAAAGGAAGAATAAAGAGAAAAAGATGAAGAGGAGAAAAGTCCTAGGAAAGAAGCTGTCTACCCCAGCCTCCCATTTTTGGCTAGTAAGAATGGAAGATGACTGAAGATCCGTGGGTGTCAATGGACCGGTCAGTGTGCCAGGACTCTGAGACGCCTTTCTGAAGCTCATTACACTCACGATCCCACTCGGTCACTTTGGATCGCCATACCTTGCTGAGCTCTTTCTGGTACTGGGGCATTTTCTTCAGCATCTGGGACAGGTCCCGCATGGTGGTCTGTAAGGAAAGGAAAGCAGAGGGTCTCACGCCCGTGGCCCTGACCTAGGAGGCTGAGCAAGTGTGGTGGGCGCAGGACAGGACAGCAGCCAGCACCGAAGCCCCAAGTGTGTTCTGTAACTCTCAAAAGGAATCCATTACACACAAGATCATATGTGTTCAGACTGCCAAGCTTCTGCTCAAATAATTATTGACCCAAATAGCATGACTGTCTTATGGGTGGAGAGCTGAACTCCGGAGCCCAGCAGTTATGTTTTATTTGTTGGACTAGACAGTTACTGAGAGCATAGCTCTTGCCAGGAAAGAACACGTTTTTGTCCATCCACTGCCTCTCTGCATCCCCAGCTTAAGCTCTCTTGGCATCACATTCATGTTGAAAGGCTGCAGCTGAGTAGACAGGGGGCAGTAGGGAGAAGGTGAAAGGCTGGAATCTGCATCCTGACAGGTGAAAGGGGTCTGCTTACCCTCTAACTGTGCGACCCACCTAATCCCACTCATTTATCCAACAAGAATTTATTGAATTACTACTACATTCCAGACACTTTCAGGTGCTGGACATACAAGGACCAAAAAAAAAAAAAAAAAGGATGTCAAGTACTTTTGCCTTGAAGAGCTCACGTTTGGCAGGGACTGTCCCGTTGCGTGGCCTGGCGCTCTCTGAGGGTGTCAGTGTGGTGCACAGAGTAGAGGCACGGCACCAGTCTAGGGAGGAGCAGGGAAGGTTCCTGCTCCTCCCCCAGAAACAACACCCGACCTGGCTGGTGTGGCTCAGTGGATGGAGTGTGTCACATTCACCAAGAGCTCACCAGTTCAATTCCCAGTCAGGGCACATACCCAGGTTGCAGGCTCAATCCCCAGTAGGGGGGCATGTAGGAGGCAGTCGATCAATGTTTCTTTTTCATTGATGTTTCTCTCTCTCCCTCTTTCTCTAAAAATCAATAAAAACATTTTATTTTTAAAAATATATTTTATTGATTTTTTACAGAGAGGAAGGGAGAGGGATAGAGTTAGAAACATCGATGAGAGAGAAACATTGGTCAGCTGCCTCCTGCACACCCCCTACTGGAGATGTGCCCCCAACCAAGGTACATGCCATGCCCTTGACCGGAATCGAACCCCGGACCCTTTAGTCTGCAGGCGGACGCTCTATCCACTGAGCCAAACCAATTAGGACTAAAAACATTTTAAAAATAAAAAGACACGACACCTGAGCAAAGGACTGGGACTTCACAAGGCAAGGCCCAGACAAGGAGCTCAGGTGCGGCTGGAGGAAGGCGGTGGGAAAAGGAGGGAGACAGAGATGTCCGAGACCAGAGAGTCTCTGGAGCCTGAGGACCCAGGTTCCACAGATGTGTCAGCAGGTGGGGCTTGATTCTCCTGGGAACCGGAAGTCGATAAACGGTTTTAAGCCAGGGAGTGGCACAATCAGAGCTCATCTCCCTCTGCTGATGGGTAAGCACCTCTGTAAACAGCAGGATAAGGAGAGGCCCAGGAAAGTTAGGTCATGAATTCTAATTCCTTCACAAGCTAAAAAAGGCTTCACAGTTCTTCTGGCTTAAAATGAATCATGATCCAAAACAGCAAATATGGATCCACAGAGTAACAAAAAGCAGCTCTCTATAAATATCAGAAGACGGGGTCTGGATCTCAGTCTTGAATGCAGAAGTAAGACAAAACGATCACGGATGAAGGGAGGACTATGGCCCCCAGCTCCCCAGCCTGATGCCGGGGAGGCGTCCTCCCTGCTCCTGGGGAGAAAGCAGGGTGGGCTCACCTTCTCCCCCGTGTTCATTCTCTTGCTGGAAGAAAAATCTTTCAGAGAACGGGTGACTTCCCTGGAAGACAGAAGAAGGTAGCTAAGTCTCAAAGCAACACCAAGTGCCTCTGTATGAGTGATATTGGATAATGCAAGAGTCTTCCTTTAGGAAAATGTGGTGACTTCTCCTGTCATAAGGGACACATTTCAAGTGACTTTCTGAGACAGACAGACAGACAGACAGTGTTTTTCTAGCTAATATTTTAAACCAGGGTTCTCCAGAGTGGGGTGCATGAGATGATTCCAGAAGAGAAAAGAAAATATTAGGACATCTACTTATGCTTATTTTACTTCATCCTTTTCAAATTTATGTTTTGTATATGCTGTAAAATATACACATTAGTACAACAAAGCATGTATTTTACTTCACAGATAAAGCTAATTAAATGTAAATACTGGAAATGTGAACCAACATTTTCTAAAGTTGAGTGATCCCCAAAGTGTGGAGACCACTTCTCAATAGCAGAGCTAGCCAAGACTATTATTTTCTCACTCTTGCCTGTGAATTTCCTGAGGATATCACCGACTCAATGTGGCAGAATGTGTCTTTTTCCAAAAGCAGAATTGTTTAAAGGTCTTATAACATTTACATATTGGAAACATTTTGAAACATTTTCAGAGCAAAGTCTGTTCTGTGTGTGGAGACAGTTCTTGCTCAGAAATTTTAGGTATGACCACAGAAGAGGAAGATCACACACCAGCTACACAAGAGAGAACTGCATGGTGGGGTCTGGACCTTTAAATGGAACAAACTCATTTTACATACTTAGTGTTTATAAAGCACTAGAGGCCCAGTGCACGGATTTGTGCACCAGTGGGGTCCCTCGGCCTGGCCTGCAGGGATTGGGCTGAAACTGGCTCTCCGACATCCCCCAAGGGGTCCCGGATTGCAAGAGGTCACAGGCTAGGCCGAGGGACCCCACTGGTGCATGATCAGGGCTGGGGAGGGACCACAGGAGGGCTCCATGGTGTGTCCAGCCTGTCTTGCCTGGCCGGACCCCAGCAGCAAGCTAACCTACCGGTTGGAGCGTCTGCCCCCTGGTGATCAGTGTACAGCATAGCGACTGGTTGAATGGTGGGACACTTCCCATATTAGGCTTTTATTATATAGGATTTTGCTGAGAGGTACAAATGCTTTCCAAAATCCTAAAGTCCCCCTAACACAGAATGAATTTTCTAACTTCCTGAAGCTGGTGGAGCCCTAGCCAGGGATCAGAAGGGATTTATCATCAGAGATTAGCATGTTGGCCACTTTGCTGAGGCAGCGAGTTCATCGCTGATGCGCTCCACCCCAGCTGCCCAGAACGCACACTGGAAACACCTTAGGGAGAGAGAAACGCTTCGCCCTGGAGGAGGGCGGGAGGGCTCTTACTGGGACACCTCTGCGATGTGCTTGTGGCGCAGCGTTATCCAGAGGTCGTCGTCCTCGTCCAGAAGCACTTCCTTCACCCGCGCCTCTCCGATGCCGCTCGTCTCATACCTAGAGAGGGGAGGGCCCACAAAATCCATCCAAGTCCCCTCTGGTTTGCAACAGACAAGAGGTCACAGTCCTCAGCAGACAGATGTCCCCAGGAATGACTTTACAAGCTCCATGACCATCTGGTGTCTGTGGAATGGGCACTAATGGCTGCAATTCCTCGGGCAGAGAGCTCCAATCAAGGTCAACTGACACGGAGTTCCGTTTTAGATGCTTCAGGGTCAGCTGACGTGAGCGCCACCTGAGCCATGTGGCTCGGGGTGTGAAGTCAGGTTATAGGCGAGTTACAAGGGAAAGACAAAGGCCACCCTTTGTCCCTCTCTCCGAAGGGCCTGAGCACCATCCAATGCGGGCGCCTGACACCTTCAGCAGTGACCGGCACAGGCCCTCGGCCTAGGACGCCTGTGAAGCATGAACATCGAAGGAAGGCAAGAACCTCAGGTGCCAAGAGGAGAAGAGCAGAGATCCGCTCAGAGTTCCAGAACCTTCATTCACTACCCTTATAATCAATGTAAATGACATGAGAGCAGTGCAGTCTGTTTCCATAAAAATAAAGATTAGTTTTTAGAAACTGAATTTCTAATGATTGCTACCAAGAAAAATGTTTATAATGAAGGAAACGGCTCCTCTGCAAATGAGTTCGGTAAGAAACTCCTGTGGATATATCTGTCATCATATTTGATGATCTGCAAGTAAGATTCAACTCTGAAAAAGATACGCACACATGCCCAAATCGACGACATACTCACACGAGAGCAGACTACAGATCTGGAAACTAAAGTCTTTGTTCTCCCCAAAAGGGGCCTGGGTTCCTGGCTAGAAGTGCCATGAGGATTTTGGGAACTCACAGACAAGCTTGCAGGCTAACTGACAAGAATATGGAAACACCCACTTCTCCTAGGATTGATGACGCCCTTTCCCTAAGTCCGAGGTTGTATCTGGTTCGTTTGCAAAGCTGCAGTCCCTCCGGGTGGTATACTTACTTGTACACATCATTCTCGATAGGCAGCAGATCGTAACTCATAGCCTGAAAGGTCAGCTCATGAAGAACAGGGGAACTGGGGTCGAAACCGCGGTCCAGGATCAGGAGCTGGGAGCGAGCCTTGTCTGGGCCCTAGAAGGAAGGACACAGGGAACTTTCACAAGCACTCCATACAGTGCTGGCTCTGCACCACG